TCAAAGAACATCCCGAAAGAGCTTACTCGGAGCCGAGTACAAGCCTTTCGACGCCCACCGCCGGATAGTAACGATACAAGATATTTGTTCTCAAAAACACGTCTCTTTTATAACAACTTCTTACGAATAAATTTGCATATATTGTATGATCACAGAAATATGATAAAATAATTGAGCTATAGCATAAATCCAAATTATGCAATTATACAAATTATATAAATCCAAATTGAATACTATATTTTGTAATGTCCTAATGCCTGTCAAATATCACTACTTCAACATTCACATTTGCATGTTTTTGTAAGCTTACACGCACTTTCATTTGGTACCTATTCGCTGATATGTTTTATGCAAATTAATGAACATTTAGTTACTTTGAAATCAATAGTTTCGATTGAAGACGACAGCAAAAATATTGATTTTCGAATAAATGAAAAATCAGTTTAAAATTTGAGCAGTTATCAAATCGCCTTGCTTGAACCACATGAACGTGATTCAATGAACATGACTGCTTGAATCAGATGAATACCATTGAAGCACGACGATTTCATAGCTGTTCAACTGTTACATTAGCATAAATCACATGTGATTCAGCAAGAGAACATGAATCATGTGAATGTAATTCAAACAACGAGATGGCATGATTTCACTTCAATGATTTTAACTGCAAACGATTAAGCAGATCAAAGTTTTGATAAGTACAGTGCATGTTCGCTGATTCATTCTCTACTGCTAACGGGTATTTGGTTATCGTCCGTTTATGAATCAGCATTTCTGTGATTATCGAATATTATCGTTCCATCAATTCAGAGAGCACCACTGCGTTTGCTCTGCTCTAAAGACTGTCGAATATTTGTTGCAATGGCTTCTTTTCAGATTTTGTTCATATATCTTCAACATCCTGTCAAATGAACGCCAGAAATTGGCTATCTGTTTAGTCAATTTTGACCCATCTTTCATTGAAACGATTCCTAGGGCAACTTTAAGAATGAACATAGGTAACCTCCTGTTTCAGTTTTAAATGTGCACCTCTCGCTTGGTACTACCTTGAGTTCAGGCAGTCATTTGATCTTTATACCACTAAATTTTCAGAGAGTGCCTTTATTGAAGTATTATTTTGAGTGTCTGGAAAATGGAGGAGAGTCATAAGGAGCCACAACTTTTGATGCGACGGTTATATGCCATCATAACATTGTATGGCGTCTTCTAATTCAAAAAATTCCGGATACTTGAATGCTAATGGAACAAATGGTACAGAATGCACGAGTTCGTTTGGGTTGTTTTCTCAGAACTGTTTTGAATGAAGTGCGAAAAAAAGTGAACGTAGTACAAAAATGTTCCTCATAAGTGATCAATGTAAGAGAGCACAAAACATGAAATTTACGAAAAAACATTTATTAATGATTAATTCAAAAGTTATAATCATAAACAATTCTGCCGTCGTTACACATTACTATCGCAACCAGTGAAGAAATTCTCATAAAGAAAATTATTTGAAAAATTCAAAAAAAACCTCATCAAAAAATATAATATAAAATCATTATGAAAATAATACAATACTTCAACCTAAAATATTTGAAAATACAAAGAAAATACATTCGTAAAAACGATATGAACTGAAAATTCTTTTCAAAAATCAATTATTAAAAAAAACCAAAAAAACTTGTGCACTGATAACTGCAAAAGCAAATTCGATACATTTAGGATTATGTATAGAAGCGAGAAAATGAACAAAATAATGGAAGAATTTATAAGGGAAATATACATATTTATAAAAGATATTCATAAACAATAAAATAGGATCCGATTGAATTTGATGCCATACCAACAATACAAGAAAGAGGTAAATCAGTGGATACGCAGTATATTTGTCATCGAATGGTTGAATTGCTGATTTGTAATCAAATTTAGTGTTGAGGAAATCAAAAAAATTTCTGAATGAAAATACGACTGAATGAAACGGAAAACTTCGGAGAGTTGTGGACAGAGTATCGCCAGAATTCAATAATTGATGGCAAAATTAGATAAATTAACCGCAAAAAAGAATAGTTTCTTTATGAAAGGCAATACTATCCGATCCGATTATGACATTCAGATACCCATAAATGTTGGATCATATTCACCGAATTGTTTAGTCTGATAACTCATCGGTTAGTAGAATATTTCGAGTTCCAAATCAATTCGTCGATGATCCACCCAAAAAATTTCTATCAGCCATTTGTTTGTGTTTAAATTTATTTGAACCAAAATTGAATCAGATAAAGAACTCAAATTTCAAATTCGACTTGAATTCGCATCTCCAATCTCGCTCACAATCACTAACAATCAATCACTCATGATCCTAACTGAACACTCCATTGTTTTTGATCAGGAATTTTTGATCAAAACTCGTTGGATACAGAGCTCAGTATCGGAATACAAGTACAAGTGGAACAATGAACGAAAGCGTTGTGGCGAGCATCGGTGAAACACCATTTCCGGTGGATTTGACGAGTTCGATCAGCTTCGACAGACCTTCGGCTTGGAAAAGCTTTTGAACGAGTTTCGCCCATTCGCTTTTCTTCTCCTCGAACGTTTGACCAGCATCTGTTTTCATCTGAGAACAAACGAAAACGAATTAGAAATATTTTGCTTCTTCATTCGAACAAACTGTTCGATAAGTTTTTGAGTGCATTATTAAGTAGAAGTTTATGAACAATGCTTTTTTGAACAATAGTTTTGTTAAGTGAAGGTGAATTGTTTGAATTGTTATCTTTTAACAATTAACTCAGTCACATGAATAAGTATTTTCATNACTTGTCCTCTGAAACGAAACTAATACGATATCATAACGAATTCCATTATTTTTGCCATTTTTATGGTGCTGCTCTTTAAAATACGTATTACTGATATTGTTTCAGTTTATTGCTTTGTTCGATACTATTTAATCTGTTTGGTGAGGTTATTCTTTTGACGAAGAGGATATGAGCAGAAGTATCCTTAATGATAACAGTCGCAGCACTCGTTCAAACACAACCAAAGAGAGCATCTTTATGAACTTTATGTAATCAATGAGTGATATCGATTAAACGAGCGATTATTCAACTGAACTGATTGACTAAGGATTATTTCAGATTTTAGAAATGATCTAAAATTAACCTTATTTTGGAAGTTGTCCACTTGACTGGTCATTTCACCGACTTTACTCAATGCCGCCTTTTGAGCATCATTTGCGAGTGGTTTCAGAACCGATGCTTTGCTAGCGATAGTCGTCAACAGACCTTTCACACTCTGCACATTCTTCTCCAGATCCTGAGTTTGATTCATTCAACAAATTTGTATGTGAAAGACGTCACAGCAAATCTTTGCAAAGTGACACATTGCAAGTTTCTTTACTCTATCACGAATCCTTCCTTGCCTGTCCCACTCAATTCACTGAACTCATCCCACAATTAGCTATGAGAAACACCTTTTTTTGCTTTTACAAATCAAGGACGGATGATCCGACATACCGATGTGAAATAGTGAAAAAAATATAGAAACATGTATTGTCACATGTTCATCAAAAAGGACGTATAAAGGAGTGAAAACGAAATGAAAAAAAAANCTGAAAAGTGCCTTTTGAAAACAGAACAGTAAAGAAAGAACAATTTCAATGTTGTTGAGAAATAAGACAGACTCATTATGATGACAAAAAATGATAGACCCGCAATCAAACCAACGGCTCAAGGACAACAACAATTATAATCATCATCATCAAAAATGTCAGAAAATGACTCAACAAAAAGCAAATTGCTTGAAACCACAGTAAAATTTTTCCATTAAAATCATTTCTGTTATACTTTCCAATTATCAGAGCGAATAATTTTCGCTATCGGATTAGACTGTTCCTCAAAAACACAGTATCACCATTACGGCGCATATAATCACACCGCATCATTGAATCTTCAGTGTGCACTCCATGAATGTTATTATAATTGAAATTTTGATCAAAGATTCTACAAAATAATCTGTTGGAGTGGGAAATTGAATTTAGATTAAATGTTCATAATTGTATCCGAAAACTCGTTGAGTTAGATTGCAAACACTTGATTGGGATGAGCATAGATGAGGCGATAAATCATTACAGTGGAATAATCACATAAAATGGATGATGAATGAAATAGAAGTTCCGATTCGAATGCTCAAAACAACTAAGACGGTTAAAAATATCTCAACAAAAGATTAAAATGCTTTTTTTCGATACCAATTCCCTAATTCATAAACAATCTTTCGATAATTCCTTCTCTTCAAACAACAAAACCGACAATTACATCAAGTAAACATGCTACAAATGCAAACCTTTCTTTCATTCCGTCAACCATTTTGAATCATTTAGTAGATTTTAGCTTGGCTACACTAGATTTCAGTTAAAATATTCGATGAGTTGAAGTGGGCACTTTTCTCTGAGGCACAAATGAATCTTTCCATTAATGTAAGGATATATTCAGAACTATGTTGAAATTCAAAAGTGTACGTCCAATTGAGAAACAAAGGAAATCAAATAAGTTTTTTGGTTTATTAATTTAAGGAACATGTGAACACACTTCATCAAGGTTCATTACTTAAGCCAGTTCAATTTTATTTTTCACTGCGAATGGTCAATTGCGAAGAATTTCTTCGAATCCATTCAATCTTTTCTCCCAAAACTGATATATCCCTAGGGATGGATAGCTTCTGCAAATGAATACAACTGACAACAAGTAAAATTTACGGCATTCTGCACAATTTACTGCATCTTCTAAAACATCGAGTGGAGATCTTATGTTGCACAAAACTGAAGTTGAAGGAAGTTATTAATGTGAATTTTTGAATGTAACAAGAGAAACTGGCTATGATCGATATGATCGATCAACACTACTTGAAGAACATGATCACCAATCCTCAGTTCTGATTTGATTTCGAAGATCACGACGATGATGAAAGTGTGATTATAATACTATGATAATGATATCGATAAAGATAATGACAAGAATATGAATGATTCCAATAATAACAGTAACAATGATAATGAAAACAATAAAATTGAAAAAAGATACGAACAACATTGACATCAATGATAAAGCAATACGAATAACATCCACAAAATAGTTATTGTTACAAGAATATTTATGTAAATGAAAGAGAACAAACCGCCTCGTTGTTCGCGAAGAGTGATTTGAAATCACCGAATTTATCACCGAAAAAATCGCCCACACCTGCGGCTGCATTCTTCACGTTGTCCACAACATCACAGTGGGCTGCTGCGACGATCAGTGCGCAAACGAAGACGGTTTTCATCATTATGATTCGTCACTTCTGAANGAAACTCCAAATTCTCAACACAAATTCCATTGGCATTCCGAATTTTCACGCGATTCTATCACAACACATAACACAAATACGATAGCATGAGTAGCGAATACACTTTCAAGTATCGATAACGATCGCACAATAACTTTCAATCAGATAAAATCGCACGTTCGCGAAGAGAATTTGAATGTACTCGAATGAAACTGAACGAAGAAGCACCTCACATGTACGCAAAGTACACTGCTCAGCTGATAACACTTCCAAAATTCGTTTTATTCGAATGGTGAATTCCGTAAGACTTCAAAAATTTCTCAATTTTTCAATTTCATTTTGCCACGATTAATCATATTTCCACCGATGAGACGAAAACAATCAAACAATCAAGACATAAATAATCAAATAGTAATAACACGTTTCTCATAGATGTCAAGTGAAAACGAGCTAATTAATTAATTCATCTGAACAGTCATCATTAGCATCACAACACCACATGAGTGTAACTGTGAGAAACATCTGATGACTGATGCAATTCTGTGTAGGAGAAGACAGAAGTGAGAACGTTTTACTCTAAACAATCAAATGTCATTTGGCACTGACGTTAGATTACTGTACGGGCGTTACTGTTTTCACATCAACAACTCGGTTGTTTTCAAAACTATTGCGAAAATTCTGGTTCCGTATCGAAACCGAATGAATCTGATAGAGCAGGAGGACAATTCCCTTCGACAGTTCAATGATAAATCAAAAGTTCATTGGACTCAATATAGTTTAGAACAACGTTTCTTTGCGGCATAGGAAGTTGTCAGCTCAATCCGTAAATGGAGAGGCGATTGAAATTTCGTTGAATTATTGACGCGCAAACATTTTGAGGAAATAACTTGAAGAAACAAAAATCAATTTTAAGTTGCTTTTTGTTCGTCGGTTAAAACGAATTGAATCAGTTAAAACTTCGCGAAAAACGAAAATGACTTGAATCAATCAAAACTACTGAAAGATTACAGAAATTGTGAGCATTTTTTTCTGTGAATTTGATGTTTATAGCTCAATGCGATTCATAATTGAAATCGTTCAATCAGAATGGCAAATGGGCCATATAACTAAGCAATTAACAACTAACGAACAAACCATTATCCGACTGTTTCGTTACGCTCTTGTAGTAGTTTCAATAATTCCAAATCGCAAATTCGACAAAAATACTGTTGATTCGAGAAAAATTACGAACATAAGCACGGAAACGAGATATAACAAAAATGAGTTGATTAGATGAATGTTTCGAAGAGTTAAGAGCGTGTATGTTCGGATTATCAGTCTAATAAGAGCATATCTTCGATAATAATTTCATATTGGTGGGCGCATGGTTGATATCATTAAATTATATCACTGGCATCCATGTAATGAATTGTGTATGCGGGATGTATACTGAACGATAGTTTTGTTACTGAATGATAGGAAGAAGATAAAAGAGAATGTATGAGCAGATGCTAAGAAGAAAGCATTTGGCTTAATTGAAAATGAAAAAAATAATTAATACGCAATGAAGACAAGACCGATGGTAAATCACTGCAAGTGACGGCATTCGGGCTGCACATATTTCAAATGAGTTGAATTGAATAAATGTGTAGAGCCGACCGAAGCAAACGTTGTGGAGAAATTGAGGAACGAACTGAGGATCACGAGGTTTTGTTTGTGAGATTGAAGAAGAGAATGATTGAGGATGAGTGAACAATTAATGAGAAATGTCAAATTTGAGAGCGAATAAAGCTTAACAGTACGTGCAATGAAAACGCCGCAAGAAATAAACACTTAAAAAATTGAACTGAAGAAGTCGATTTCAGATTTTGACTTTTTGATCACTCACAGACTCGAATAGAAGCGAAATTTACTCAAAAATCGACAATCATAACATTTACTGCAAACATTTCATCAGAAACATTTCTTGTTGCATGAATTTACAAGATCTGCTTAGATGAATTACAGAAACACTTCAATAGCGTCCGTTTGACAATATCTTGTTAGATGAATTTACAAGAAATTCTTAATTCCTTGAATATATCGCCCTTCATTGCTTCAAAACATCTAATTAATCACTCACCCTCCCTCTATGAATGCTAACAATCGCTATTCAACGAGATCATGCTTTCACGTAGATCTCTGCCTACCATCGAAACGATCAGAAAGGATTTGTGGACATATCGACAAAATCGTTAAAAGTGGCTCGATTTGCGCCATAAAATTTCTCTAAATCGCATCTAGATGACATTTATGCGACGTGAAGAGGCTGTTGTAAACATTATTCGAGCAATATGTTCGCTTACCGAATTCCACACAAAATAAACGTCAACAACAGCTGGAAAGACTTTGAAACGATGAAACTGAATGAATAACTGAGAGTTCCTCTAGCAATATGCATACATTTATATATACCTGGTGACTGTTCGTAATGGTACAACTCAAATTCACAATAAATCATAATATCTGAATATACAACAACGATAACAACAGTTGCTTGAAATCTAAAGAAACAAGCATGATGTTATGTTGAGATTGCTTCATTCAACAACAAACGCACCAAGTCAAGTCACATGAACGATACAGCAGGTAAGTGATGTTGGTGGTGTGCAGCTTACAGAAGAACTAACTTCAGATCCGAATGAATGCAATTTTTGTAGACAAACAAAGTGGGAAGCAAGCCAGTCAGTCGGCCGAATGCGTCAACAACACTTCCACATTCACAAAACTAGTTTCGTGCATGATCCAAGCACGCACGACTAATGAATATCAAATTGTTTTGTTGGGGCACACAACGTTACCGAGATGTTTCTTCGATAGACGAATAGCAACGATAACACCACTAAAATGACATTAACATTCATTGCTCATGTTCAAGTAAACCAAACAAAAAACGTTTATGATAGCTGATTATCTAAAATTCTGTCTCGTTCAAAAGAACACAGATTTTCATCCGTAACGGATGGATCGCTTAATCAAAACGGAATGAAATGGAACGAGATGGGAAGTTTTCGAAAAGCTTTAACAATGAAAATTTGCTCGATAATCGCTCTTTTACTAATCGCCTTTTTTTCCAGCTGAAATGAAATCTCAAATCAAGTCCAAAATGATTGCACAACTTCAAATCATTATCAGCTCAGGATGGATTTAATTCTCGTAAGAGCTCACCAACTGCTTTATTGTTAGAGAAAAATTGATTCAGTTCTCTCAGTGGAGAAAGAATGAGTCGCAGATGTGAGCTAGTGGTTCATTTTTTTAACGGAATGATGTTTTTTATTGTTCGAACAAACATTCAGTCAAATAATTTGAACAAATACATAGTGTGACTTTACACAGCGTTATGCTTATGGCGCACTTCAGTTGCCATCAGCCCAAAGCAATAAATTGAGATATTATTTAAGAACCGAATTGAAAATGAACCAAATAACAACTGTTCGCAATTTGTTTGAAGCAAAAACAACAACAAACACTCGCTCTCCTTATTACTACTCGATGGCAAGCAAGTTAACTTCTGCGAATTCCACTTCGCTTACTCATCGCTATCCGTGTTTTCCGGGGCACCAAATTCCGATGCTTTCATCTGATCGAGATGACCAGTGATAATTTTAATATAGATAATTTGATAATATAAGTGATAATTTGTTCCATTCGAGAGTGAAATTGCAATTCACGGATTGCCTACAGGTTACGGCAACGGAAAAAAGCCAGGAACAAAATTTTGCACTCGATGACCCTGAAAATGCAGTCGGTTCGAAAAAAGTCGTCGGCGAGGGGGACACTGACTCCTCGATCCTCACTACAACCCATAAGGCGACCTCTTTTACGCATGACTAAATGAATGCTAACGAGTTATCATAAAGTTTTCCCTCATATGCGTTCTTATGGTGCCGAATTTCAGTCCTTTTCAATTTCGAAAAAATTTGACTCCTTCGATAGAGCAACTTCTAAATGATCGCATTAATTTACTTGATTATTAGGAGACAAAACTGATTTCATTCCGTTCTCTCATGAGGCTGACTGATGAAACTTCATGTGACTGTTGTCATATGTCATCTGCTCGGTTAGTTCTTACATCATCAACAATGCAGAACCTGTTCACTTCAGATGTTTATCAATAAACAGTTTCGTACGGCATTTTTATCACGAGCGCTTTTCATTTTCTATCATAATAACAATAATTACGTGTAGACGATATACCGGTAATGCTGAGAGCGATAATGAAAATAATAATAATAATAACAGTAACAATAACAATAATAATAAATAACATTAGATAATGATGCATAATAATAAATAACAATAATTACAATAAAAATATTAATATTAATGATAATTATTACATTAATTATAATAAGAATAATAATACTTAACA